AAGTTCTTGTGGCAGGTAAATACCAGTAAATAGCCGTGTGCATGAATGGTTCTTTGCCACGGTTTAACCTTGGCGTTTGGGCGTAATGCGCGGCAAGTGTCGCTTTACGAGCAACTCGTAATGTGCTTAGTTGCGCTTACTTTCTTTACACAGCAGCAGCAACAACAACAACTAGAATGGCCAACAACAATGCTAATGCTGCACATAAACCGATTTACTCAATTATAGTTTGAAAATCACAAAAACGGCAACTTGGCCAATGCTTGGGTTTTGTGTGTTTTGCCTCAAGTGCTGCCGAGCTGTGGGTGCCATAGAGCAAGAAAAACAAAAAATGTATACAAAATAAATAGATATAGTCGCAGCCAAGGTAATCAATTTATTGGCAACACAACACACGCACACGCATACATACATATGTATGTACACACATATTCAAAAGCCAGCGACCGTCATCATTTAATGTGCCAGCTGTTATCGCCAGAGACAATTGATTTGTGAGCCAGAGCAAAGCGCTTGAACATGCATTTGGTTAATTGTTGTATCTGATCGATGCGACGAGTTGTCGGATATAGATACAGATGGAGGCAGTTGCTGCTTCAAGTTAACCTGGCTGCAGCATTTCACTCAATTAGCGGAGCATATGATTTGCATAATGTGGCCACTAATTTAATTATGGCTCATCTAACGGGCAGAATGACAGCCATGGCCAAAAACAATACCCAGAGCCATGCCCAGGCAGACTCCGACTCCGAGTCCGCCTCCGCCTGCAGACTGTGCCTATTATTATATAATTTGTCAGGTTCTCAGTCACAGGCTCCTTTGGGTGCTGATGTCAGCTGCGGTGCCCTCATCATAACTTAAAATAGTCGCTGAGCGACAGTTAATTAAGCATTTTAAAGTCTGCTTCTTGTTGCTATTTTTTTTTTTTGACTGGGTATAGCCTCAGAAGGGGTGACTTCTTCACAGTTGCTTTTTAATCTTTCTTTCTAGCAAATATGAAAGAAGCAGAAAAAAGTTAACCAACAAAAAAAGACAGCAAAAATTAAAATAAAATTTACATAAAGTCAAAGAACCTTAGAGATGAAAAAACCAACATAATAATAATTTTGATGTGTTGCGTTCTTGCGGCCTCGGCTGCAATCGCTTCTAATTGTTATGATAATTTTTGCAGGCGTCTGAAAAGGAAACGCAAAAGTCTCTCGACTTGGCCACAAAAGAAAGGCTGCGCGGCCCAGTGAATCAAGAAACTAACTCAGCCTTGGCACGAAACATAAAAAAACAACCATAAAGCAAAGTACATCTAAGCGCTGCTGAAAGTGGCAATTGAAAGTGCCCCAAAATGGTCATTGGCATTGCTCACAGTTCATCAAACTGTTTGACGGCACGTGTGGCAGAAAATAAAGCAATGTGTGCGAGTGTGTGTGTGTGTGTTTGTGGCATCTGATAAGCATTAACTGATCGAATTTCCTACGGAAGTGCTACAGTTGAACCACAATTTGTGTGGCCAAATATCTAAGCCACATACCAAGCCTTTTAATTAAAATGCGGCAGCAGCTGTGAGCCATGCGAAATTCTGGCAAAAAGTGCTGAGTTCAGTGGCAACCACAGTATGTGGCAGGAGCAGCTCTGCCTCAGGGCTGTGCTATTTGCCATATACTTTTTTTTTTCGTTGGCTCATCAATAAATCTGTAGCGCTGCTGCAGGAAAACGCCGTTAGAGCCAAAAACAAAATGCTGTCTATAAATCACATGTTGCCGTGCGACATGGCCAAGGGACAGTTTTGGCTAAAGTGCAGCAATCCCTCCCCTCCTTACTCCAAAAACAAAAAAAAACACCCCAAACACCTGCTGCTGGCCATGGCCCTAACCCTGACGCTTGTCCTTGTTCTGTGTCGTTGTGGCTGGCCAGCTGCCAATGAAATCTCTGGCCGAAAGCAAATATTGCTCAAAGCCGATTTCGATTTCGGACAGGCTGCCAGCCAAATTGAAGGGGGGGAGTATGGGGTAGAAAAGGAAGCCAGGCTATTGCGGTGCACACATATTGCGGCATTTTATTTGCATTTTTTTTTTTATTGACCAACCAGTCTGTGCTGGAGCTATGAAAGCCCCCCACCCTAAACTATTCGCCATAAATATAACATTTTTGGCTTTTATTTCAGCTGGCACTTTTTTAGATTTTCTTTTTCATTTGGACTGCCACAGTTTTTGCATTATTTATGGCCAACTAAAAGCTTTTACAAGCGAACTATTTTAGTTTTTACGAGCATGACAAACGTCGCTGCGGTACAGTGTTGCCTGCACAGGATGAACTTGGTGTGGGCATAAATTCTAATTAGAAGTGCACTCCAACTTTTAGCCAGGACACACGGCAGCCGTTGCCAGAGCCAAGTGGCCGGTAAATGGCTATTCATAAATTAAATAGCCGGGAAAAACTATTTTTCACAAAGGGCCAGCAAATAGGGGCGGGGCGGAGCAGTGAGGGCGGCGTCGACTGGCTCTTACGCTGTGCAACGGCCCGCGGCGCCTCGCCAATTGTGAATGAATGAATGAGCGAGTAAATGAATGAATGTTTGCAATTTGCGCCAACAGCTGCAGCCGCCGACTTGAGCGGTTTTTTATGAATGAATAACTTTGAGCATTAACTGCCTGAACAGCCTGGCCTGGCCGGCCTGGCCTGGCCTGAGCTGGCTAACTGCCTGGCTGGTTGGTTGTTGGCCATTTTAATGCCTGGTTGGCTTTTGGTTTAATTTTTGTAAAACAATAAATTTGTATTAATTGTTTGCCGCTGAGTACGTAATTGAAATGTGCCACGAGCTCTGAACTGCGCTGACAAATCCAAAAAAAACCAAGATTTGCTTAAATAAATCCCCGTAAAACATATAGTTTTAATGAGCTCTGGCTTATGCCCTAGAAAGAATTGACCAAACAGCTGAAGTAATCAGCCCACAGGGAAATGCATCTTTAGAAAACTAGTTAGGCTGATGAATAATTAGAGGAACTAGTTTTTTTTTTCAATTGCGCAACATTTCCACACAAGTGCATATAATTGCAATAAATGCCAGAAAAAAATATGTATATATGTAAATCTTTTATAACATTTGAAATGAGAATAATTGTTGAACTGAAGTTCTGAGCATTAGTCACACAAAGCAGGAACAGATATTTTAAAATATGCTAATTACTGACTAGAAGTTTTAAATGCTGGTATTTCAATAATTTACTTAATCTTTTTTTTGCATTCAAAAAAATGTTTGGAAAAAGTAAAACATATTTTAAGTTTTGAAATATTTTTAATAATATTTGATCAAAGATTTTTTAATATATATCAAATTTGACTAAATTATATTTTTTGAGCAAAAGAAATTATTTTATTTTAGAATTGTTAGATTTTATAATGTCTTATAATTTTAACTTTGTCATTTTCAAATACTTTTTATTTTTTATGAAATATAAATTTTTTAAACTGTATATTTTATAATATTAAATATTTCTTTTATTGTAAATTATTATTTATTATATATTTGTTTTATAATAATTAAAAAAATGTTTATAAATTTCTTTTATATTTAAAAGAATTTTTATAATTTCTCAAAACACACTTTTTACATATTCTAAATTCAGAACCTCAGTTTAACAACTTTTTAAAGGTTAAAACTTTAAAGTCCCACAAAAGGACAATTTGAACTCACCTTTTTCACACAGGAAACAGAACGAATTAATTTTTGAAAAGAATTCTCTTAAAATTCTTTCTGAACACTTTGCCACTTTTACTGGAGTTTTTGTTTCTTTGTTAAGTTTCGATTTTTGCACGTTATTGCACAGTTTTAGATCCTTATTCCTTATGGATGGTAATAAACATTTCGCGCACTGATTTAACAGTTTATTTAGTTTTTAAACTTTTTTTCTTCTTTTTATTTAAAAATCACGATTCGGTTTTTGTTTTCTTGCAAATTCTGCGTAAAAATAATCCACTGTGTCAAAAGTTCGTTAGCTTCTTGGATAAAACTGTCTAGAAATTTGACAATTTTACATGAAGCTGCTGCAGACGACAACGAGACCAGCTCGGGTTCTAGAGGTTGGTCGTTGGGTTGCTTTTAGCTGTTAGCTGGTTGCTGGGCTGATGTTAGTTGGCTTGCTGGTGGCTGGCTTGGGGCACCACCAAGATACAACCGCTTCATAAAATTCAAAGAGACTCGGACCCAATAGCTTCTCAGCGCTTATTTATATAGCCTACGTCGAGCGGCTTTTGGTGAAAATCAAACGAAACGTACGAACCAACATCGCGACAGCGACAAACGCAGCAGCAGCAGCGGCGACAGCGACGCCGGCAGCAGCAGTCGCAGCAGCAGCGTTGAACGAACATGCCAAGTGAAGCCGGGCCGGGCCCAAACCAATCGCTGAGAGCGCCACTCACCAAGAGCTGAGAGCGCAAAAGAACTTCGCACACATACACAGACCGCAACGGCGACGTCAACTGCGACTGCGACTGCGACAGCGGCAGCGACACGTGAACGCAAACACAAACGCACATACACATAGAGACAGAGACGCAGACACCAGCAAACACACTCAAATGCTCACTGACGGCAACAAAGTTGCTCATCATTTAGATCTCGCAAGCTGACGTCGACGCCGACGTACAGTGACCAAAAATAATGAAATAAAGAATCGAGATACAAAAATAAAACTATTGAGATTTGTCAAATAAAATTTATAAGTAAAATATAAATTAAAAATATTATATTATTAAAATTAGTATGGAATATAGATTTTATAACTGTTTAACTTTAAACTAAAAATATCTGCAGTATAACCTTTGTCAACAATTTGCATGAGTTCAGGGCATAAATGATAATGTGGAACGATACCTGTTTGTTCTAGACTTTAGCTCAATCAGATCATTTTTAACGGAACAGCTTAAAGCAATTGAAGGCTTTGAGCGAAGCGCGTTTTTTAGACTCATTTAAACATTGATATTGAAAATGTTAAGCATCCAAATATATTACATTGTGGAAGATAATTTCAAATATGAAAAATAATCAAATATTTTTTAAAATCAACAAATACCCAATATCTAATTGCTGCCAGAAAATTGGGCTCGTGTTAGTGTCAAAGATTTTGGGCACACTGTGCATTGACGCAGCTAGCGCGAACGCTGACTGCGCTGTGGTCAATGAATAAGTGCTGCTGGATTTAATGCATTGCAAGAATTCCCCACGCTGAAGCACAGAAATTTCGCAGAAGCAGCGTCAGCAAGTTGGCAGCCCCAACACAACGCCAACAGCGCAGCAGCAGCGATGCCGTGACGCAGAGAGCACAAGCCGGCTTTGCAGAGACTGCGACGGAGACTGAGAAATGGACTGAGACGCAGACGGAGACTGAGACTGAGACGCAGCCATGTAACTTTGGCCAACAACTTGCGGCTCTCGCCATGCTCTTTGGCCAATGTTCGTGTTGGCGGCGGTGGCGGCGGTGGCAAGTTCTTGGCCATGGCCAAGACGAAGAATTCGCACTGCTGCTGCTGCTGCTGTTGCTGTTGCTACTCATGATGATGTTGATTGATATGGAGATGATGATGATGGCATGCTGATGTTGATGCTGATGCTGCGCTCGCACTGACTGCAGCTTCTTAAGTCAGTCAGTCAGTTGGCCATCAAGCGCCGCTTTGCGGTTTTTGTTTCGACCTGCTGCAGACTAAAAATACCTATGTGTGTAGAAATGTTTAATTTTTTTTTTCTTTCTTTTCATGTACAGGTGTTGGCCAGCGCCGTTTCTAATTAAGCAGCACTCGTTGTTGGCTGATTTGGACATGGGCAGCGCACGCACTGGACGACAAATGTGGTAAGAAGAGAAGAGCAACCGGTTCTCGAGCCCACGTCGTAGTCCAGCACTTTTTGGGGTGTACTATTGTGTGTGGCTTCAAGCTGATTATTGACCTTTCTTATAGCTAGTAAACAGCCTAAGCTGCCGGAGCATTAGCCAACCAGGCAGCCGGGCAGCGAGTCGGTCCAGCTTTGTACCACGCCGTTTCTGCTTAATTGTTTGCGAAATTCTTTTAGCCGCCTTTTGTTTGATTTAATTAATTATTTAATTACGCTTGAAGTTGGCAATTTTGCCGGGTTTTTTGCACTTGTCTCTGGCTTTGACTTTGTCCGAACACACACACACACACGTGCACACACACCAACTGGCACACAGACACGCACACCTTAACGAAGAAGTCGCGCGCGCGCGCTCCACACCTCACACCGATTGCGGCGTGGCGACGGCGTGGCAGCAACAAAGCAACTTGCAACACACAAAAAGTACGCGACTTACAGCTAGAAATGTGCTCCGGCCAAATAACCACGTCCGTTGCACGACGCGCACGCTTCGCTAATGAACTGAACATTTCCGCTTTGCCGGCATCCTTTGGCCCGTTGCCGTCAGCTCGTTGCTCGTCGCTCGTTGGTCCTTTCGGTCCGCTCGGTGGATGCTGCCAGCGCATTGCGCCGGCGCACGTCAAACATTTGAGCGTGAAATTTGTCGCAGTCTGACAAACAACAACAACAACAACAATAAAATGAAATAAAAAGAAATCAGCCACTTCCACCCGCTCCCAGCCTCCCCAGCATCCGAGCAGCCCAGCTGCCCGTGCCCCAGTCCAATACCAGAGTCTAGTGATTGCCGGCTACGTGTTGCCGGCATTTGTCGCTTGTCGTTATTGTATTGTGTGTGCTGTGTGTATGCTGTATGTGTGTGTTGTGTGTGTTCTTCTGTTCTCTGGTTCTGTTCTCGTTGTCGTGCAATATTTTTTTGGCATTTTCGCTTTATACGTGCAAATTTAATGGCAACAATTGGTGCGAAATGCCGGACATGCAAAAGCGAGCACTGAATGAACGACATCAGCCACAGCAGCAGCAGCAGCAGCAGCAACAACATCAGGAGTTGGGTCAGCTGCCTTGGATGGCTGGCTGAGTGGTTGGGTGGCTTATATATTGCTGGCTAGTTGGCTGGCTTGGCTGGTTAGTGCATTTGTAGTGTGTTTTTTATTATTATTTTCCTTCTATTGAATTGAGTTGCAGAGCTGCGAACTGCGAAACAGGGTCCAATTGTTGAGTGCAATCCAAGGTGAGATAAAGCACTCAACAGCTGAAGAGAGCACTTCAAACTTGGCTTATTGATAAACTAGTTGGCAATAATAAATTGCTGGAAGCTTTTCAATTGAATGCAGATTCTTAAGAATACTCAAACAAAATCACGTTTCCAACTAATAAAATAGAATTTATAAAACATGCAAAAGCTGATAACTTTAAATAGCATATATTAAATGAATTAAATCGACTTCAAGCTTTCAGAATAAGCTGAATATAGAAATTGAATTGAAAATTTCCCTAAGGAATGCAATTTTGATCAAGATTGTACGCGCGAGATACATTTAAACTGACCCTCTTTTTATTTAATGAAAATATTTGTTAAAGGTAAATTTTTTTATTCTTTTTATAGTTTGTATTAAAATTAAAATAAATGCCTAACATAGATTTCAGACTTCCATGCATCTAAAAAATAAATAAGTTGAAATATTTTTTAAGTTTTACTGATTCAGTTAATTGCAACATTGAATAACATTCTGAACAAATTAGGTAAAAATAATGTGTCAAAAATGGCAAATATGTTGAAATAGTTATTAACTTCCATATAGCATATAATGCCCCTCGTAATCTTCAAACTTCCAAATCTTTGCCAAAATTGAACTGATTTTCATTTCATGGGCATGTCTTGTTCTCACGATTGATTCTACATTGATTAATGCCTTTAAGAAATTACACTTTTTGTTAAAAATATAACCTCCTTAATTTATTATTTATTTATTCATTATAAATTATCGATTGTGATGGCCAATATTAGAATAAAAAGCCACGTAGAACAAATCCTGATCTGGTATATTTTCCTGTCGAAAGTCATGCCACAAATGATAAAATGATGATGGACATGTTAAGTTCCCAAGTACCTGTAAATATGGACTTCAAACTTTGTCGACCAATTCTTTTTTATATGGGACACCATTTTGGCCATGATTTTAACTCCATATATTTTTCAACACATTATTTCAATTAAGTTTCTTAATTATTAACTATTTAACTATTGTTTCCTACCTTTTGCAATTTTTGAGCTTAAAATACAATTTACTAAAGGTCTTCAACGTTTATTGGGTCTGCCTAGAGTTTGCGAGATACTTCTACACGATGTTTATAGCATTCCTTTCTATCGATTAAGCGGCACGAAAATGTGGATACTAACAGTTAATTTTATGCCAAAATTTCCCAAGTACTGTCACAAGCGTTATGTGTCTGTGTGTGTGTTTTATTAACCAGTTGATGAGACGCTATATAGCGAAATCACTTGCACAGTTATCCAGCTGATTGAATACTCAAATTTCGCACACTGCCTGCCCCTGTATAGTCTTCATCATGATGAGCATCATTGTCAGGGGCAGCCGCAGCATGGTCATCATCAACTGTAAAGCACTCCCATGGCCATCCATCGCAACCAACTGGCCAACTAACCAGACAAGCGCCTGACCAGCTAAATAAATAGCCAACAACATTCGCCGAGCTTCACTGTAAAATGCCAAGCGACAATATTTCGCAGTTGCTGCAAGAACGTCGAGTGATTTTCATTGTGTGATGTGACAGGTGTCACCGCGTGTCGACGGTGGGTGGACGTGGAAAATGGACGTGAACGAGGAAGAGGATGTACAGGAACAGAGGACAGGCGACAGAGTACGAGAGACAGCGATTGTTTGGCAGCAGCAGCACGGCAGCACGGCAGCAGCGGCAACTGTGGCGTGTGGCAATGTCAGGCAATGAACACTGCGAGCCGCGCCGAGGCAAGCATCATGACCAATTAGCCTTGTTAGTGAGATAAAGTATGGGGTACGGCAATGGGCCAGCAGCCAGCTATATAGTACTAACGGTATCTGGCAGGTATCTGTCTCTCTCCTCTGCCGTTCTCTCTCTCTCTCTCTCTCTCGCTCTCGCAGGACAGCTGCGAATGGGAATGACAGTCAACGCACGCCCGAGTTCAATTGATTTAACATGAAAGTGTAGCTCGCTAAATTGATTTTTGTGAAAATTCTCGACTTTTCGCATACTAGAAATCGCCAACGACAACGACAACGAAAGCGGGAAGGAGATTGGAAAGAAGAACAACAGCAACAACAACGCAGTCATCAAAGTTTTATGCTGTTGCCAAGTGGCCGAGCTTGGGGGCAGGATGTCAATATATGTATCTATGTATCTGTATCTGTATCTGTATCTGTAGCTGACCGTAACGAATTGCTGTGCTATCTCGTGTGTTGTTGTTTGCCAAAAGTATCTGTAGCGCAGTTGCCCGTCTATTTGCCAAGTATCTTGTTGCCGCTTTGCAACCCTCGAAAAAAAAAAAAATAAATTTATAAAAACTGCGAGGGTGATGACTGATGATGCCCGGGTATATGTCTGCGTCTAGGTCTTCCTTGCCAGCATCAGTGCTTCGCCTGCAGCTTTTCGTGCAATTTTTCGAACAAAAATAAACGTTTTTTGTTGTCTACTTTACGGGCGTTTTAAAAAGTTCATTTGCACGACAAACCACCAAGCCAGCATAGAACCCCGTCCCCGCCCCCGTTGTTGGTCTGCTTTTTGCAAATTAAATAATAGGCTTATGGTGGCTTAGTGTCGCAATTGTTGTTGTTGTTACAGCACGTTTAGCATGCCATAAAGGCAAATTTTTTCGTAATATTTATTGCCAGGCCATTCATGCGCCTTTAATGTGCCCCAGACAAGCGCCACGGCCTGTGCATAACAAAAGGCTATTCACAGGCCGACGTGGTCTTTCTCCAAGAGACGCAACAACATCTAACTGGCTTACGCCGACTGCATTCCATATGAGCCCCATTCTCTAGCCCACTGGGAGCCATGTGAAAATGCAATTAAGCTACGAATGACCAAGAGTTAATTCTAATTAGGAAAAAAAACGCAGTTTGATGTTTGCAAACTAATTGTATTTATTTTTCAGAAATTTTAAAAATAGTTTCAGCTATGTTATAATCTCTTCAATTCAAATAGTTTGCTTTTGTTTTCGTTTTGCCAAGCAGATTCTATCAGAAGCAGAAACCCTCTCAGTTTTGTTTACCTGAGCTTAAATAATTTATTTGACTTGCTTGTTAAACATTAATCTGTATTATGTCTAAAAAAAAAAAAAGATTCCAGACAGAGCTTAAAGCTGATAGCACAATCGACAATTAATTTTTGTTAAGTTCCAAATTCAGGTTTAAACCAATCCTAAATCTTGTAGATCGTGTCATTTCCAACCTGAGCGTTTCTTTAACCAAACATTCTCAGATTTAAACCGCAGAACGTGCGTACTGTTAGAATTACAGTTACAGTGCATGGCAAGAGCTATAACATTGTCATTCATGAATCATTTTGTTATGGTTTGTGGAAAAGCGATTTTCCACTGGCTGGAGAGTCATGTATTAAGACGACATGAAGTCGCTAGAATTTGCAAATTTCTCACACGTTCGGGCGACGGGGCAACTTTTGTTTCGGCGCCTCGAATGTGCCACGAATTAGCAAAACAGATCGGATAAGCACAACAACCATAACAACAACTTTACCAACAGCAGCAACAACAACAAAAAGAGTTGCAATGCGAAGTGCATATAAAATAGGCGCCCAGTCAGTTTTTTAATGAATGGCTGGCCGCCTTGTGGCCTCTGGATAGATAGATACATATGTATATGCATATGGAGTCTAAGGATTTGTAGTTGAGGGCGGCTCTGTACAGCCATATACACCCATACACTCCTGCATATCCAGGGCCATATATCATTTTGCCTTTGGCTATGCAAAGCTGGCGCCTGCTTTGCATTTGTCAAAAAAGTTTTGCTCCCCGTTGCACTTGGTTATTGTATGAGAGGTCGTTAAAATGGCACCACGCCCCACGCATTAAATTAGTTAAATCGGCAAATCAGCTTTTAACAGCCAACATTTTATGTAGTTTAACAAATTAAAAAGCCCCGTTTACGGACAGCTTAAGTCAGCGCGTTTATGGCCAACATAAATCCGAAAATCTCCGACAGCAGCAACATCAGAATCTGGCAACAGCAGCAGCAGCAGCAACTAAAATTAGCATCTTTGATTTGAAAATATGTTGGCA